TAGAGTGCAGTCACGGCAGATCTTCTACATTTGAGTGCATTCACTGTGTTCATTTGGATGTTTCGTTGCTGCTGTTTTATCTGTCGCTGGTGCTTGCGAACAATTTGTACTATCTGGAACGTGCTTGCAGCTGTAACCAGGAATGAAATCAATAACACCACTAAAGGAATGATGATCCAATTTCTTATCCAAACCTTTAACAAAACCGCAGTTATACAACCTGTCCAGAGAAAACACGCGACAAAAAGCACACGGTGAACAGTCACAATTGTCCTGTATCTTAGATGAAGAGTCAAAGCAAGAAGTCGATCAACGGAGACACAGCTCAAAATCAGCAAAGATACACCAGCCGTTGTCCAGCTAGATATATTTTGAGTCATTCTCAGGATGCAGTAAGCCCCGTAGTTATCTGAAAGCTCTGAGATCTGATAAGCCACATAAAACGGCTGACAAATCAGTCCGACCAGGAGATCGGAGGCAGAAAGACAAAGCAAAAGCATAAAGGACGGCGAATGAAGCTCCTGAGTTTTCCAGATGACACGAAGAATGATAAAATTCCCTGTAGATGTGATTAATGAAAACACCGCGTTAAAAATACAAGTGAGGATGCTTGCAGTTATGGTTTCTTTGCTTTTTTCCAAGTTAATATCCAAAAAGAAACAATTTGAATACGTTTTGTTCATGACGAGGGCGAACGTGACACTGATACAAGCTGGGACTTCACAAGAAAAATATGAAGCTATATACTGATAGAAATACATAATTTATACACACGTCTTGCAATTAGTAGTTATACAACTCAGAAAGTGACGATCAAAACATTTGTTTTTGTAAATGGTAAAAACATCACTAAGGAACAAATACTTCTTGAAAATGTCAACTTTTCTTCGGCACGGAAACAGTTCTGGCAGTTTAAATTGGACAGACCTAGCGCTTCATCAAAAAGAGAACAACTGAGCTTTTTTCAATGTATTTTCGTGTATGAAATGAGAACGACTGAATGTCAGCCAATACCGTGGAAAGCAAACAATTTTTCGGTTAACTTTACATTTCCTGCGTTACGCTGCCCAGAAAGAAAATAATTTACAGCCTTTCGACTCTGCTTTAACTCTGCCATCTCGTTTTTCAATTAACTACTCCTTACCCATTAATTATCAGTCTTTTTCGTTTTTGACTCGGGAATCAAATATACGCGCCTGTGTATGTGTGACAGCATCGGTGACGTTTTCTATGAATTCACCGATATACATACGTGTAGATGTCATTGCTGTCCGGGCCTTCAGCGAAGGATGCGTCGAAGATGAAATGAAAACCAGTTAAAGTGGAGAGATCCTGACCTAAAGCTTTTCATTGACAAGGACTACAATTTTTGAATGAAATATTCAAGACTTGTCAACCTCAAAGACAAAAGGCGAATACAAACTATTACGTAATCCCAACTACGTCTCTCTTGTTTCTTTGCCGATCTGAACTACCACGGTAGAAAATAATAAATTAAGCAACCTTTTTCTCTGGTTTTTCCTTTTCGAAAAAGAAAACCGGAATGATCGCGTCAGAGATAATCTAGTTGCGTTGGAAACGCTAAAAAGCGGCTGTAACTGAGTTCCTAACAAAGGTTTTGACCTAGAACATATGATAGAGACGAAGCTTTTTCAAAACGTGATATAGGCGAACTGATAAGGACCAGGAAAAGAGCAGTGTTTATCAATTTATTTATTTCTATAATAATTTATTTTTCTTTCCTTTAATTTTTTTCTTTTTATCAGTTCTTTATTTATTAAGTCTATTTACTTCAAGACTTGAATATGTTCACATCATCTCTAAAAAGAGTAATTAAGGCGTAAAGTGTTGATATTCACAAAACATCTATGTGTTTTATCAGGACTTTATCAACTGACGGAATGGATTTTATTGGATGAAGCTTTTCTTTTAAATAAGGTCTTAATGCGAAGTCGAATCTGTTCCATTCTCCAACAGTAGATAACGGGATTTACTGAAGAGTTTATAAAAACAAGCAGTGAGGCCCACTCGTAAGCGATTTTAACTACCTTTTCATCGCCTTTGATCATTTCCATAGCCATAACGACGAGGAAAGGAAGATAAAACATCAACATCCAGCTAAAGACATAAATTACTGTCGTGGCAGACTTTTTACATGCACGTATGTTAATATCCTTAGTTCGGATTGAGCAACCAGTTACTATATTATTTTGTCCAGTGATTTGACGTTCGTGCCCTCGAGCGATACGAAAAATTTTACCTGTGCAAAAGGCAGTTGTTGTTATGGCCGATAATTTACCAATAATCGCAATAATGATCCAGTTTTGCACCCAAAGCTTTAGTGTGGTTGCCAACGAGCAAACCAGCCAAACGATTATTATTGCGGTTATCACACGTCGGACTGTAATGATGCTTTTGTATCGCAAGTGAAGATGTAAAGCAAGAAGTCTGTCGACAGAGATGCCACTAACAGTTATAAAGGACACGCTAGAACTTATCCACCCACAAAAGAACTGAATCAGTCGCAGGTTACAATACGCGCTGAAAGATTCGAGGCTCTCCGCTATCTTGTAAGCAACGAAGGATGGCTGTCCAACCAATCCCACAAGAAGATCAGACATGGCCAAGCAAAACAACAAAATGAAAGATGGTGAATGAAGCTCTTGTGTTTTCCATATAATGAACAATACGATGCCATTTCCTGATATGGCAGTTATTGCAAACAGCGCGCATAAAATACACAACACCACACTTGCTGTTTTTTCTTCTTCATCTAGCTCCCATTTAACTTCAAAGAAAAAACATGTTAAGTTGGCTGTAAACATGGCGAATCCGCCGTCGCTATCGAGTCAGAGACCACTTGGCAAGGCTTAGCTGTAATGAATGACGAATTTGTACCTTGGGTTTGGACCTCCTAGTAATAAATCTTTTTGTTTCAGTCGAGTTCGGTACCTTATGTTGATCAATATTTCGGTGCGATGTCATTTTCGCCGCCCTGGACCATTGTGCGCCTGCATAGGCCCCTGGTGCCTGTAAATAAATACCTTTCATCTGACACCGAAAAAACATCTGTATCACCCCATATTAACATTCAAAATATATGTTGCCTGTCGAGTTTCCTTTCAATTAGATTATGTATTCGGTTGTTGATTTGCAATATATTCCACTGAAGAGCTCAAAGGCTCAGATAACCTATTCCGTCGTTATTAAATATTTACAGGCATGAAAAAAATTAAACTTTCATTTAACCGATGTTATTTTTATCGAGCATTTAGGCAGGTGTCTGAGGATATTTCAACAAAACTTGGACAAGTTATCTATTTACTCTATATGCCTAACAACTGAGCAAACAAACTACAGAAATAGGGTGAAGCTGAATAAATTCAAGCCCGCTTGTCGCTTTGAGTTGCTTTGAAAAAGAGTAAGTGGAAAAGAAAAATAAACCTTTTTCGCCGTTGGGTGCAGTTATTATTTTAGAATTAAACCTTTCTTGATGGTAAAACCCTTTTAGTTTCGTGAAATACTTATAGACACGGGTTGTAAGAGTGAATTTGAGAATTTAAGACACAAAACTGTGAAGTTGTTTCATTTCTCTTTTCAATGTATGTTTTCCTTTACATTTATCATCCACGTACGTAACTAAATTTACATTGCTATTATAGTTTCTCTTACAAAAAAGAAATAAAACCTTGTAAGTAGGGAAAAGCATTGGGGCCAGTAGAAGGTTAAATATTTGTGCATTTACAAAAATATACAAACAGTTCAAATTGGATCGGCAGGTACGTTTTATCAAAGCGTTATCAAACGATGAAAAAGAATCTCCAGGTTTCAAATATACCTTGTGGGAAGTTTGGAGAGCACGAAAGTTGCCCCAGAGTTTCCAAAGGCTTTGCAGAGAGCAACTCCAGTTTTTTGAAAGCTCCGGAAACTTCCCAAGTGCTTCACATTTGGATGAATGCACTGCTGACGTATGGGACATCGTTTACTAACAATTTCGAGACGGCCTCTCAACACAATTATTTCAATGTGGTAGTCTCAATAATCATAACTTTTAAGAAACACAGCGAGTGATAAACCTATAATAATTCATCTGTTTCCAAAAACAAGCTCCAACGAATTGGGAAGTTGATTACGTTGTTAAAGTAGAATCATAAAAATTAATATTTCTACCGAGAATGTTTTTCTCAGAAATCATTTGCAAAAAGAATCGCATAACATTCTTGGGGATCGGATTCAATTACAGTTATCAATGAAAGAGCTCCCCATGTGTTCGTGGTTGAGATAGTGCTTTCAGTGTTTCATAAACTTGCAACAACATGTTAACGTTTTTAGCTTCGTTTCTTTGAGATGCTACCACAAAAATAGACACCTGCTTTCACAATGTTCTCTCGCTGATAATGCCCCGTGAACTAATGAATTCACTGTCACCTACATTTGCATATATGTCATGTTGGAAACTGTCGGATATTACTACTGTCTGTAAAAAAAAAGCAGTTTGAGCGGCTTCTTTCGCTCGAGTCTGCCTCTTGTCGTGAAAACCAATAATGATGGTATCTTTCACTTTCAAGACAGAAGAAAATTTTAATGACGATATCATTCACTTTCAAGTTAAAAGGATTTTACAGCAAACAAATTAAAACTCTAACAATAATATTTCCCTTTAGCATGGAAAATATACTTTAAAAAAACCAACTGAGAATTGAAATGATTACGTAATTCTTTGGAAGAATAATTTACTTAAAAAAAGGGTAATGGTTGCTTGCGGACTGACTTAAAATTGTGTTTCTGTTGGTGAAGGGCACAAGGTTGAAAAATGGACATCGTGATCAATTCTTAATTTCTAAGAAATGAGGAAGGAACAAACAAAGTAAGCCATCAGAAACTGAACCGAAAAGCGGCCAAAATAATTATTAAAAACGAAAAACTGGTTGTAATTAATAAATATCTCTTAAAAGAGACAACAAAGAGAAAACGGCCTATTTAAGGTATCGAAAAAGCCAAAACCGTATGGCAGAACAAATCAATGAGATAAACATTTAGAGCGCAGAAACCTATCTCAAATCAAACAATTATTTTTAAAAAATGAAAAGGTCAATGTTTCCCCATCATAAATACCATCTGTATCATGTAAAGTTACAAATGCTATTTGCGTGCAACAACGACATTTACATATAGATCAATATTGGTCATAAGAACTTTTGACGACACGAGCCTTAAATTGTGTTATGGCGACAAGACCAGTCAAGTTAATTACCGGATGTGTGAAATTATCGTCCAGCTGTCAATAAAACATGGAGATGTTTCAGAAATGTTTAAAATTTAAACAAAATTCACATGTCCGCGTCGCGTTTCGTACTAATAATGCATTAGTTTGATGTAACAAAGCTGAGGGAAAACTTCCCTTGTAAAGTCACCAAAGTCACTTGCCTCGAGTGTTATTTTCTAAGAGGACGCGTTTTCGAAGTAAGCTCTTTACGGCATTTCGTATCTCCCTGATGCGCCAACAGTACACAATTGGATTAAAAAACGAATTGAGAAAAACTATAGTCCCCACGTAGTCATATACGATTTTTACTGTCAGCGTGTATCCCTCGGCTGAATCCATAAGCATTGTTACACAAAAAGGAACATAAAAAATCCAAAACAGACCGTAAACGTAAAGCACAGTCACTACAGATTTTCGACACTTAAGTACTTGGACTGTTTCCGTTTGAGAAGTGTTTAGATTTCGTTGAAGTTGCTTGATCTGGCAAAGATGTCTGCGCACAATCATGAATATTTTTAAGGTGCTCAGCGCTGTGACGAGAAATGTTGTCAGTAATATGATCAAAGGGAGAATTATCCAGTTGGTCATAGTGAACCTCAACATCATAACTGTGACGACAAAGAACCAGAGAAAGACGCAAGCACCAAACGCACGAGGAACTGTTACGATTGTGTTGTATCGTAAATGAAGAGTCAAAGACAATAATCGATCCAATGAAACTGCACTTAGAGTTAGCAGAGACGCACCAGTGGTTGTCCATCCAGATATACTCTGAATCATTCTCGAGATGCAGTAGCAGCTGAAGTCTCTTCTAAGTTCAGCGATCTTAAACGCGACGAAAGATGGCTGGCAAATGAGTCCAACGAGAAGATCCGATAAAGCGAGAAAAAACAAAAGGACGAACGATGGCGAATGCAGTTCTCGGTTTTTCCAAATTGCATTTAGAATAATGAAATTTCCCGTGATTGTAATCAAGGAAAAAATAGAATTTAGGACACATGTAGCGAAGTTGGCCGCGTGCGTGTCTATCGTCTGATCCAAATCGATGTCCAAAAAGGAGCAAGTTAGTGTTTCGTTCATGGTATGGGACTTTCAACAATTCTCAGAAAATTGATTTAACACGCTTTTTAAATATTAGTACACTGTCAAAGTTCAAAAAGAAACTGATCGACAGTTAAAATAGGTTTAACTTGTTTGTTAAAAAAAAAACCAATCAGATTTTGACTGTTTCCTGTGCTGTAGAAACTGAAGGGTGACAAATATAAATTGAAAGGAAGTCTCAAATCTTTAATTTCGGCAAATATGTAAACAATTCTTCATGGAAATATTAATGTACCTTATTCATAAAGTAGTGCTCTTTTGCAATTTAAATCTTCAGCAACAGCTGGTGGTTTGTACCAAATATATATTAAAAGACATTGTATTCCGATTAAGAAATTAAGACTTTACAAAATTCAGTCATGATGTGGATCAGAGGCAATCTTTATCCAAGTATATAATACTCAATTCACACCAGCAACACATGTTTAGATAAACCGTCATTAACCCTTTAACGCCCAACTTCTCATTGGTAATTC